CCCCGGTCCCAGGCCCCGCCGCGTCGCTGGGGGCCTGGAATCTCTGCAAGCGCAACTCTCCCTGTGTCCCAAGGTTGGAAGGGATCAGGGGGATCAGGGCAGCCCTGCTCTCCGGCCGGCGAAGCTCGACCCACACTGAGCAGCATTACTAATTTTTTCTGTTCCCAGCCAGAAAAAATCTCCCCAAGTCGCCCATTCCGGGACGTGGTGCTCTTAGCAGTTAAGTTCTTTCTGAAGTCTGCCCTAAATCTCTTCTCTGCTCTTTATTCAAGTCCTGGTGAGCCTTCCCAGACATGAGAGGAGTTGCACAGACCCCCACCCCACGCCCCAGCGTTGCCTTCCCTTTCCTCTCTCTGCTCTCTTCTGGACAGTGGCAGTGGGTCACTGGCCATCCGGCGCCTCCTCTACCCAGGTCCTCCAGGTTTCCCCTCACAGAAAGGCTGTTCCCGTGGAAGGACTCTGCCACCTTTCCATCTCATCCCCACCCCTCCGCATTTGTCTTTTCTTTTTTAATTTAAAAATAACTTACTGCGTTTTTTCCTTCTTCATTCCTTTTTACAAAAACACTTCACTGTAAACTAATTAGAAAGTATAGATTAGCAAAAAGAAAAATCTAAAACATCGTAATCCTACCAACCAGAGAATGTCCACGTTACCCCCTTGGTACAGAATCTCCTGGGCCTTTTTCTATTTATGTCACTCTATATACACACATTCAAAATAGGGAGGCACTGTTCGTACATACCGTTTTGTACATGCTGTTTTGTAACCCTTCGTCATTTAACAGTTTATCCTGTTATTTACCAGTGATAAATATTCATCTAAAACAGTGGTTCTGATTGTCCAGAGACTTGTTAAAACCCAGATTTCTGGGCCCAGCCCAGAGTTTCTGAATCAGTCAGTCTGGGTTGGGGCCCCAGAATGCGCATTTCTACCAAATCCCCAGGTGAGGCTCTCGCTGCTCTTCCTGCCTGCACTTTTAGCACTACTGATCTGCAACATCAATTTTAGTGAAGGAATGGTCTTTCAAGGTATATAGACAATTACAATTTATTTAATCAAGGTCTCTATTTTTGGATATTTGAGGTCTTTCTTTCTTTTTCTTTTTTCCTTCAGAAACACTATTACCATAAAGAACCTTGTAACAAAGTATTTGTGCAGAAACTGTAATTTTTAATTTAGCTTATATTTTGAAAAATAGACCTGCAGAATCAGTAAATTATATCTGACCAAATTGCCCTCCAGAAATGTACCAGTTTACACTCCAGCGCTGTGGAGAAGGGAAGACATTGCCCCCAGTCCTGGTTATTGTCAATATTTTAAAAATTGTTGTATGAATTGAGGGGATAGAGGATGGTTTGTCCCCCTTGTGTTAATTTGTATTCTTTGATTGTTGTAGGGGAGGAAGGAAAGCATTTAGGAGTCTTTACAATGATCCAGGCAAAAGATGCTGGCTAGAGGTTTGGATTCCGGTGATGGCGGTGGAAGAAGAGACAACTGGATGGAAAGAAAGTGCTTGGCAAATTAGAGTGAGGGGATTCATGATGCTCCCAGCATGGGAACATCCCAAAGCCACCCCCTGTCTATCAGCCGAACACTAATTCGTGTGTGTGTGTGTGTGTGTGTGTCTTCGTGGGAAGCTAATTAAATTTCTTATTTTAAAGATGAAGAAACTGACACATATGTGTACACACACACACACACACAAGATTAGGGAAAGACCAAGCTTGTCTTCCTCAGTCCTGGGAAAGCAGCGTGGCACATGGGCACTCTTTTTTGGGCAGGAGTCTCTCTGCCCTGACTGCCCCACAGAGCCAGGATAGAGCAGGATGACAACACGTATCTGGCCTTGGCATTTTGCCCCCCGCATGACCAGCTGAATTTCTTTAGAGAAATGGTCAGCTATTTTCTTAGTCAGTCCTACTCCTGAGACCAACCCCCGACCTTTGATATGCCCTGGATTCAGAGCCCATGGCTTTGACTCCATCCAGTGAGGTCAGTCAGGCTGTCTGCTGCACATAAAGGTTTGGGGGTGAGTAAAAATGAGGTACAGGGGCCTGCCTGCTCCAGCAAGAGGCTGTGAGGGGCTGATGGTTGGCCTTTCCTTTATTAAGCACCTACTATATGCTCAGTGCTTTAAATATATTACCTCACTGAATTCTTGCAGTGGATTCCACTGGATTGTCCCTCAACATGAGGAAACAGAGGCTCAGCATGGTTAACTGACTTGCTCAAGACCACATAGCTAGTGAAGCATCAGACCCAGGATTTGAGCCCAGATCTGTCCTGTTCCAAAGCTACTCTCTTAATTATAATTGTCCCCCTCTCTTCTATCTTCTGTGAGCTGCCTTCTCTGGATATCTGGCAGGAGAGGAAGATGTTGTCTATGACCTGGGAGCAGGAAGGGAGAGAACCTGGGCGTGTGGAAATAAACAAAGACCACCCAAATGAGAATGAGCAAAGACTATTTGGTCAGAGCTTGCTATAGGAAAGGGAATCAGCTACCATTGCTTGAGTCTTGGCAGAGACACAAAGGCAGGCAGAGGAATGGGGAAGTTTTATAGTGGAAAAAAGGGTAGGTTTCAGGTGTGCCCTGATTGGAGGCTGTTGGCATTCACAAGCTGTAGGTGGGCTGATCAGAAGCGGGGCATCCCCTGTGACTGGTTAGGGGAGCATATTTAATTTTCTCCAATTTGTATTATGTTGAAAGTGGGAGGTAAAATTCGGGCAGCCGTCAGTTACTGATCAAGGCCTGGCCATTTGGGGCTGATTGCTGCTGGGGTTGTGGTTTGGCTTCCTGAGCTGTTGCTATAGGCAGTGGGTCAGAGTGCTATTTTTATATATGGCCTGGCCACTGTCTGTATATTCAGTCTCTTGGACTCCTCCCCAGAGTTCAGGAGTGGGAGACCTCCCCAGCCTGGACCCAGCCAGGTACCCCCTATCTGGCACTCCCTCCTTCTGCTCCTCCCTTCTGCCTTTTCTGGAGCCACTGGTCCCAGCAAGTCTTGCTGCTGTTTGATATGCATTAGCTCTTAATTCTTATAACAACCCTGAAAGGTAAGCATATTAGTTATTTATCACTGTAACACACATCACCCCTAAATTTCACATTTATTTATTTATAAACATTTTTTTATTGAGTTGTAGACAAATATTAATTATCTCACAATGTTTGTGAGTGCCAGGAAACCGGAAGCAGCTTACCTGGGTGGTTCTGGCTGGAGGTCTCTCATGAGGTTGTAGCCAAGGGTTTGGCTAGGGCACGTGAAGGTTCTACCGGGGGGGAGAGGATCAGCTTCTAACATGACTCCTTGACACGGCTGTTGTCTCAAGGCCTCAGTTCCAGGCCATTTAGACCTTCCCGTAGGGCTGCTTGAGGGTCCTCATGTCATGCAGCTAGCTTGCCCCAGAGCCACTCTTGAATGTGCTGGAAGGTGAGCAAATGGAAGGGAGAGGGGCAGAAGAATGAGGCTGCAGAGTAGAACATGGTAGCTACCACTGTTATTTAATCTTCACAGCAAGCCTTACAGAGAGAAATCATGAGCCCCATTTGACAGATGAGCAAATGGAAGCTCAGAAACGAGAAAACATCTTGCCTGAGGTCACAGAGCTGGTAACTAGCAGATCCAGGCTGTAAGCCCTTAGCTACCTTCTAGCCTAGCCCAAGTTCCTTCCAGTACTTTGTATGTGTGTTGGGGGGGAGGCGTGCTTCCTCTTTAGGGAAAGACCACGCCCCTCAGCCCCTAGGAGCCTTAGAAAGTCCCTGTCAACTGGGCTGCCCTCCCGCTCTGGAGAGGAGGAAGCCAGTGCCTCTGGGCCCAGCTGCCACCCACACAGGACTATTTTTACCCTCCGCTTCAGTGACAAGCCTGCATCTCCCAGCTCTGGAAAGGCCATCTGGGCAGTGTGGCTGCCCCAGGCAAAGCCTCCACCCGGAGGCTACTGATTGTGCCCTACTGTCCCCATAGCTATTTCTTCATGAACCTTTGGCCCTTGGGCATGCCTTGGCCATCGGGATCAGTAAGACACCTCCTCCCCTAGATTCAAAGATTAATAAAACCTCCCCAATGAGTATCACTTGCTGGATGGACCAGTCCGAACCACAGTGTTTAAATCTGAAGGTATTTTAAGTTGTTCACAGTTCAAAAAGGTTAATAAAGCACTCTGTGCATGAAACATTTTAATGAAGAGATAAAAATGCTTTTATTTGCATTCATTTGCATTGCGTGCGCGTGTACACAAACACACACAAACACATACACACACGAAATGTGACAAGATGTCCACTGTATGACCGTGCACTTCAGGGAGGCCCAAGAGCCCTTGGATGTCACTTATTTTCTGAAGTGGTTTCAAGCAGCTGCCTTAGGGCTCCTGTTTGCGCTATTCGATCATTTGGCACACTCTTCCTGGAGCGGGCAAAGGTTGCCTTCTACCTGGTTCCTGTCCAAATGATCTCACATTTCACATTGGCAAAGGGGAAGTTAATAATGTTTTCCTGCATCTGGTATAGAATTTAAATAAACACGGATTGCCCTGTTCAGGCTTTGCCCCTCGAGACTTTGAGGTCGGTCCCTGCTCTGTTCACCCACACGAGGTGGACAGCAGAGGAGCCCCCGCAGTTCAGGTGCAGGTGGCTTGGCCCAGAGCAGCAGGGGAAACGCGTGGGGGGAGTCTGTGCCTTAGCAGGAAGGGGGCAGTGCCCGTATATGTTGTGTGCAGGAAGAACGGAGTGGGTATTACAGGTATCAGGAACTTCAGACACCACCTCCTGCCACCTGTCTGATTTGTGTTTCAGAGAATACCAGTTTGGAAATCTGGGATCTATTTCTGCCTTTTCCCCTAATTGGCTGTGTGACCTTTGACAAGTCAGTCATCCTCTCTGGGCCTTGACTGGTTCATCTCTAAATCAAGGGAGCTGGATCAGATCACCGTCAATAAAACTTTATTTACAAAAACAGGGAGTGGGCCAGATGGGCCATGGTTTGCTTTCCCTCACTCTATGGGGTGCAGAGAGCACGGGGCCCAAGATCTGTGCTTGGTCTGCACCTAGAGCACTGCCTGGGCCTCCCTTACCCTCTTTGTAAGATGAGGAGCGTGGTTAACATCTGCATTCCCCAAACTGTTTTCTGGATCAACAAGCAGTTCTGTGACACTGACCTCAACAGGTTTTTTTGCTGCAGAACTTCTCAGGGCCTTTAGTATGTTGATGTACATTGTGAATTTCCCAGGAGGGGAATGCAGGATGCAGTGTGTAACAATGGGACTCTTTTTTCATAATGCCAACTAGTATTTTTTGCCACTGTGTACCACTCAGCGTGGTTTGGGAGATGCCCTGTAATCTCCCTAAAGCCTCTGTTTCCTTCCCTGTAGAACAAGGACAATGATGGTATCTGCCTTCTAGAATTGTTGGGAAGGGTAAATAAGGTAATGCCTGGAAATGAGCCTGGCACAAGGCCTGGCACAGAGTAAGTGTTCAATAAATGCTGGCAGTGATTATTTATAATAAGGTTCTTCCTTTCCAGCTCTGACATTCTGTGCTTCCAACTGCAGGGTGTAATTAAACTCCAAAGCATCTGGCTTCCTGAGTTGAAAGAACAAGCCTGGAGGAAGAAAAAAGGAAGAGAAAGATCCTTCTGGGTTGCCCATTTGGCACCAGCCTCACTGCCAGTCGTCACAACAGGGGAATGTAGCAAAATGCCAACCCCTAATGACGAGGCTTGGGGGAGTTGTTGGTTCCCTGTTTAGCTCAGACACCATGGGGAACATCTGAGGCTGTGGAGAGGGGAGAGGTAGGACCTGGTGCTGCTTTAGGGTCAAGCAGAAGAACCCAACAGCATCGTGCGTGGGTCAGCCTCTCTTTCCCGTTGTCTGGGGCACAGTGATCTTGGCCACTTTCAGGGCTGTGTGAATTGCTGGGGGAACAGTGACAGGAGAGCTGAGTCAGAAAAGGTAAACAGGAAAATTCAGGCGAGAAGGGCAGGGAGAGCAATCCGCAGGGGAAACAGCATGTGCTGTGGCTCTGAAGCCTGGAGAAGCGCAGGGACCCAGGGGTGGGGAGGCAGTGCGGAGGAGTGCGGAAGAGATGGTTAAAGAGTGGGTGGTGAAGTCAGCTGGGAAGCACTTACATTCCCCTGGGTTTAAAAAAAAAACAACAACCGAGGAAAAAACCCCAAACCTCTTCTCAGTATTTTTTCTTTAAAAATTTGACAATGAACATGTATAGCTCTTATAAGAAGAAAAACTATGTTTTTGAAAAAAGAAAGGAAAATGATCACCCTTGCAACCATGTGGAGGCCACTTTGGAAGCTACTGCAGTTGACCAGACAAAAGATCATGATGAGCAATTCTACTCTCAAAGAATTGATGACTGGTACAAATATACGTGCATGGATGTTCACAGCAGCACTATTCGTTAGGGCTGAAAGGTAGAAACGGCCAATGTCCATCAACAGATGAATGGACAAAGTGTGGTATGGCCATTCAAACGGGGTATCATTCATAAAAAATAAATGAAGTACTGACATGTGCTCCAACATGGATGAACCTCGAAACCTTTTTGCTAAGTACAGGAAACTGGGCACAAAAGGTCACATGTAGTATGATTTCATTTATATGAAATATCCAGAAAAGGTAAATCCATAAAGACAAAACACAGATCGGTGGTTGCCAGGGGCTGAAGGGAGAAGGGAAGGAGGAGCAACTGCTTAACAGGTACAAGAGAAAGTCGCAGCAGTGGACCAGGACTCTCCCATAGTTAGGTAACATAAGCCTCTGAATCCCCCTTCATAGCTTAAGCTTCCTTGACCTCGCTTGTCACTTACACAAGAGAGTCCTATCTAGGGGGAGGGTAGAGCTCAGTGGTAGAGTGCTTGCTTAGCATGCAACGAGGTCCTGGGTTCAATCCCCAGCACCTCCCTTAAAAGTAAATAAATGAACCTAATTACCTGCCCCCTGCCCCCACAAAAAGTCCTATCTAATCTACCTGATACCATTTCATAAACCCCAAGAGTAAAATGATCACCAGAAGCAGGGGATAGGGGAGGAGGAATTGGATGCTGTTGGTGATAAGGTACAAACTTCCAGTTACAAGACAAATAAGTACTGAGGACATAATGTACAGCATGATAAATATAGTGAACATTTCATATATATTATATATGAAAGTCAATTTTTAATTTTCTTTTTTAAGTAAAGAAAAAAAGGCAGTTGTCCTCAGCCACATGACTGTCTCCTTGGAAAAGGCAGTCTGTGGCCCTGGCACTCATCATCTTGAAGATGCTTCTTACAGCACTGAGCAGTTGTTGGCCTTTGAGTCTGTGCCTGTCCTCGACAACAGGCAGGGCTGATGCTATGCTGAGCTGGGAAAGGCCCACTGTTGCCGCAGCAGCAGGTATTCACGGACAGTCTGGCCCTATTGGCTCTACACCTCCTCCCTCCCCACAGCTGGACTCACAGACCGCCATCCTGCCCACGCCCTGGGGCCTAGGGCAGCAGGGATGGAAACAGCTATAGGCCAGCACCTGGGCCTAAGCTGGGAGGCCCCTGCTGACTTCTGTCTTACAATTTGAGTCACTGAACACAGGTCTTCTGATCTTCACTTACAGACCTCACTTACAGATTTTTAGCTGGACTCATGGATGTATGAAAAGAAGGCTATTTCCCATTATCATTTGCAATTAGGTCTAGTTATGTGACTCAGTTCTGGCCAATAGAATGCAAGTGATGTATTCTACACAATTCTGGGAATTGCCCTGAAAAAGGAGAGTGCTCTTCTTCTTCCCCTACTTGCTCTTACTACCTGGACTGTGCTATGGAAAGGCTGAGTCCCAGCATCCACTTTGTGCCAGGGATGAAAGTCATGACTGAAAATAGAAGAGCAACACGACAAGGGAGCGTGGGTCATCTCTGTTATTTCCTTTGCGCCGTGGAGCATGCTGTTGGTGGTGGACTGACTCCCTCCTTCGAGGTTTCTTAGTATGAGCTTCTATCCTGTATGAGCCAGTGGTAATTAAGGGTTTCCATTCTTCTCAACCCAACTTAATCCTAACTAACACTCATGGCTTCTGACTTGATCCTTGGCCTGAATTCCTGCATTGGTCACCTGCCCAGTATGAGGATGAGGGTCCCTCTCCACTCCTCCTGTAGACTAGAGTCTGCCCCCACCCCATCTCAGTGGCTGGGCCCTGCTGCGTGCTGGTGTGCCCCGTCCCTGCTGCCTGCAGGATCGTGTGTGGCAGGGCTTGCCTCTTGCCAGAGTGGAGAACAGCCTACTGCTCCCGTCACTTTCTGAGAGTGAGCCCTACTGCTTCTCTCTTCCCGCTCATCCTCTTACCCTTGGCACCTGCCCTGTGCCTGACAGGCTGGCCGCTCTCTGGACATCTGCAGCGGGATCGATGTCTATAGTACCTTCTCCAGGGGACAGGTCCATGAGGAGCCAGTTCCCGAGACATAAAAACCATGGCACCTTTGTAACAGAGAACGAATCTGGCTCCATAGTGGATCTGTTCCTTTAG